TGAAAAAGTGATCCGCCGAAGGTCTTGGCCCGTCCGACAAGAGGGGCGCGTGGCGTGGCGCAGCGCGAAATCAGGCGGGCCCCCGCGCGACGCGTCACACCAGCGTGACGGCGGGCTCGTCAAGCGCCGGTGGCTGGCGCCTGCGCGTCCGACGAGCCCCGTCCTCCGCGCTTCCCTTCGGCTGCACGCGAGTGTGGCCCCAGGCGAGGCGGTGCACGGCTTGCCGATCGCGGCGGGCGACGCGGCAGTGGCGGCCTGCGTACTCACATGTGGCCCCCGCAACCCCAGGCAGCCGCGCGCCAAAGGTCACTCTGACGAAGGGTCACTCTTAGGTGTAAGGTTCCTCCCTCCCTCCCTCCCTCCCGCCGACTCCGCTAGCCCATCAGGAAGCAGCACTCGTGATGATGGTTCGGGGTGCCTCTCTGGGCCTAGCTTGGGGCCCTCGGTGGACCCCGTGTGGATGTCACTGGGGCCCTCTTTGGCCGTGGGGGGGCTCCTGAGGCATCTTGGAGCCATGTTGGCGTCCCTTCGGGAGTCTTGGGGCCGCCTTCACGCGTCGTAGCTGAGTGAATGTAGGACTGTATGCTTGTCACTCCGCATCCCCCAACACCTCATCTTCATTCTTCTCCTCCTCCCTATTCTCAAGTTGCTCCCCTTCCTCCTGCTCCTCCTCCCTTCCTTCATTCATTCATTCCATCCTTGCGTGCACCCGACGTACGGATCTAGACTGTAGCGTTTTTTCCTCCTCCTCCTCCTCCTCCTCCTCCTCCTCCTCCTCCTCCTCCTCTCCTCCTCCTCTCCTCCTCCTCCTCCACCTCCTCCTCCTCCTCCTCCTCCTCCTCCTCCTCCTCCTCCTCTCCTCCTCATCCTCCCCCTCCTCCTCCTCTTCGTCTTCCTCCTCCTCCTCCTTGTCCACTGCCTCCTCCTCCTCTTCCTCCTTCTCCTCCTTGTTGTCCTCCTCCTCCTCCTCGTCCTTCTCCTCCTCCTCCTCCTCCTCTTCCTCCTCCTCCTCCTCCTCCACCTCCTCCTCCTCCTCCTCTTCGTCCTCTCTCCTCCTCCTCCTCCTCCTCCTCCTCCTCCTCCTCCTCCTCCTCCTCCTCCTCCCCCCCCTCCCTCCTCCTCCTCCTCCTCCTCGTCCTCCGCCTCCTCATCCTCCTCCTCCCTCACCCTTTCCCCTTTGTCGTGCGGGTCGGCGCTACGGCGCACGTGCGCGTCTCAGCGTACACCATAGAATGGTCTACTGAATCAATCCATTTGGTTCTCGGACCTCCAATTTAGCTGGAGCCTCCTGGACGCAGATGGGAGGAGTTCGGATGATGCGGGCGGACTCGGGAGGATTCGTAGATTCCGGCGGCACTCCGTTTTCCATACGGATTCTTTTTCAAATCCTATATAAAACCATTCTTTGTTGTGGAATCCACAGGCGTTTCATTTTGTAATAAGGGTTTCTTCTAACATTCTAGATACAACAGTGGTGCTCTGTTGCACACGGTTGCTCTGGTGCACACAGGCACCGTGGTGTACACAGGCGCTGTAGTGCACGCAGGTATTCTGGTGTACACTGGTGCTGTGTTGCGCACGGCTAATGTGGTCTCCGCAGGCGCTGTGGTGTACACAAGCGCTGTGGTGCCCGCAGGCACTGTTGCACACACTGGCGCTGTGTTGTACGCGGCTGCTGTGGTGCACATAGGCGGCGTGGTGCACACAGGCACTGTGCACTGTGGTGTACACAGGCGTTGTGGTGCAGATCGCAACCCACATGCTGCTGCTACCCGTCATCGGTCATTCCCAGGCGTTTCCAGACGCCGCCGGCGCGAAAAGTGACGTCACCGGCCCCCTCCATCCCACCACCCACATGATTGCCGTCATCGGCCCTGAATAAAAACAAGTTCCAGCCGCGTCCGCGCGCACCACGACGATGAGCGACGAGCGACGAGCGACAACGACGACGACGACGACGACGACCACCACCACCACGACCACGACAACGACTGCGAACCAGACTCCTGTGCGGGTTCCAATGCGGACACCTGTGCGGATCCCGGTGCGCACGGCGGCACTGCCCAGAGCGCACTGGGGGGGGGGGGGGGGGGCGTTACGTCGTAGGGGGGGGGGTCGGCGGGGGCCGTGACGCCCCGTCATACCTCAAGCAGTAGAGAAACACGCTCCACAGTCCCTCATCCGGAGTGGAGTGGGGGAGGAGGGAGAGTCGTTTGCCGGCGGCGAGGAGGGAAGGGGGGAGCGGGTTGAACCGGTAATGACCCCCCCCTTTCATGATGGACCGGGGGGGGTTGCAACCGGCAGTGACCCCCCCATTTTTCGAGGGGGGGACGGGCTTGAAACCCCCAGTGACCCCCCCCAGTTTTCTGCCAGCAGCGGCAGAACACGCTCTTTCTTATCATTCCTTCTTCCCCTCATCACCACATGTTTGCCCCATCATCATCCCCCTTCCTCCTCCTGATCCTCATCCCCCACCCCCCAATGCGAACCGTTCACTGAGAACCCTCCCTTCACCTTCTCCACGCCCTGGCACACCATTTCTGCCCTGGCGGGTTTCCAGAACGGCTCCATGCCAACACCTAGACAAAAAGAAGGAGCATCACCGTAAGGAGGAAGAGAGGGGAAGGCAAGGAGGAGGACGAGGAGGGAGGAGGAGGGGGAGAAGGGAGGAAGGGTGGAAAGAGCGAGGAGGAGCAGCAGCGTCACGAGGCGAATTCGAGGGAGCTCGAGAGAGGAGGAGGAGGAGGAGGAGGAGGAGGAGGAGGAGGAGGAGGAGGACGACGAGGATTTCCTCGAGGGCCCCGAGGCAGAACATCAGCATGCGGCCGCAGGCCGAACCAGAACCTCGGGCGGCCTCCTCGCGTTGACGAATCCTCTCCGCCAGGGCCGACATCCCAGGAATCGAGATACGCCCTGTGCGAGAGGAGGGCGAGGAGAATGGACCAGGCGTCGCTGCCTGGAGCAGCGCAGAATCGGCCGAGGCACCACGAGTCGTGCCAGTGCCCGCAGCCCTCGGACCTGTCATGAGGGTGCAGACCTTGGCGATTTCGCTTGAGCGCGCCACGCCCACACGGGCCAGGCTTCTCTCCGAACTTGCCTCCGAGCTCCAAGCAACGCTTGCTCGTGAAGGCACCACATCGGAAAGAGAAGAAGAGTGGGGCGCCCTGCTAATCCTGTGTGAAGGCCGCGCTCGCTCACAGCACCTTGGACATGTCGGAGGGCCGTGAGCCGGCCTGTACAACCTGTCATAGAACGGCTCTCCCCCCGAACATGGTCTTGAAGCACTTGCTGCAACGCACAGCGCACGGCGCCTCATCATCCCCAGGATCCAGGCCGACCCAATCGTCCCACTCCAGGGCACGCAGGGCATGGGATTTGACCCTAGGAGTCGTGAGATCCCTACGAACATGCAAGTTCGGGGGGACGACAAAATTTCAACGAGCCTGGCCAAAAGTTTACGAAGCGTGGCTATGTCGGCATCTAGTTGCTCGAGCTCGTCAGCATGCATGGCAGGATGGAGCAACAACGCATGCTTGGCCAGACGATCCGCATCCTGGTTGCCCAGGGCGAAAATGCGCCCCCCCCTGGTGGGAGCGCCGCGATTACACCCTGTGGGCGGTGAGCTGGCGCGTGAGCAAGAAACACTATGCTAGCTTGGCCCTCTTCCTGAAGAGCACGCCTTCGACGGCCAGCGAACACTTGACTGGGGTCCAATTGCGCTGCGGTGCGAGAGGTAACCAGACGGACAGCCCCCCAAACAGCCACTACGAGCTACACACTGGCCAGAGGCGAGACAACTAAGGGTGACAATGCCCAAGTTCTCGCCTGACTCGGCCGCCCAGGGGAGACCTGACCAGACGGCGCACAGGGCCCGAGCCTCAATCCCAGTCCTGGGAAGGTGACAAAAACACAGCAGCATAGCTCGCCCGATTCAGCTCACTGCAAACCAGCTGGCTAGCCGAACCGTCGACGACGCTCTGCGCGTCGACGGCCCGCTCACAAAACTCCTCGATCGTTGGTGGCTCACCCGACGGTCCCTGGAGGAGGGGTCGAGGTCGAGGCGAGGATGAGTATCGTTGAACCGATCCCCGTCCCGAGCGGCGTGGCCTGGGACCCACTGGCCGATTTACCCCCCTAGATGGGGATATAGGTCGTTCCCTTCGGGCTTCGAGGGGACTGGGGTGGTAATTTGGTGGGGATCTCGAAGGGGATGGGAATGGGGATGGGGATTGGTTAAACGATACCGTTAGGTCAGGCATGTCCCCCTGCAGTGTAGGCCCTGCAGGCGCATTTTGGACGAAAAATAACAATAGTCAGAAAAATACGCCAAAGATGCTCAAAAATATGATATTCGAAAAATAGACCCAATATTATGTTTTGACTATGTTTGAATTATCCTCCTGTAGAGGGAGAGGCCCGAGTTAACGATATCGAGAGGAGGCGCCTCGTCGCCACGGCCGGACATCCGCCGCGATCGCCGCGAGAGTAGCGGAGCCGCAGAGGGGGCGGCAGCGAGGGCGGCTGCGGCGGCGGCCGGGACGCCTCCGCACGGCCGGGCCCCCGACGGCGTCCGCGGCGGGGCTGAAGCCCACGCGCGGCGTCTCCCAGTCGAAGACTCGCGCGGGGATGGGGGAGGGTGGGGGTGGGAACTTCAAGGGGGAAGAAGGAGGAGGAGGAGGAGGAGGACGAGGAGGAGGAGGAGGAGGAGGCTGGCGCGAAAAGGAATTCATACTGATGCGGGGCGGTTGGTACATTCAGCTGGCACTGAGCTGCCTCATAGGCACGCGCACTTATCATGTTGCCCATATATCACTCGTTGCGAGGATGGACTTGAAGCGGCTTCAAGGCAAATAACAAACTGGAAACGACGTCAGACGAGCCTGTCGCCATGTTCATGAAGTCCTCGGCTGCTCAACGCAGAACAAGTCTTATCATGATGTTCTGCTCGATTGGTATCAAGTGCCTTGCCCGTTGCTGCAAACGTGTTGGTGCTGCATTGCGCGTGACGACATGTTGTGAATGCATTACATGTGGTAACGAATAGATTTATAGACAGAGGGGAGAATAATACTATGTATATGCACATGTATGTTCATTGTATGCTTTTGTGCATGGATACGTGTGGGTAGATGTGTACACACAGTACATGGTCATACACATGCATGTCTAGAGCAAATATATACATGTATGTAGGTAAGAACCGGTATGTGTACATGCACATGTGAACTGAGATGCACATGTGCATAGACATGTACATTGTCAGTCATCTGAGTGTGCATATGTGTAGGTATATGGTTGCGCATGAATGCAAGTAAGTGCATGTGTGTCTGCATGTGTGTATGGATATGCATGTGGGTGCATGTGTAGGTGTATGGATGTGTGCGTATGCATTTGCATACGCATGTGTGTTCTGCATGTTTATGTGTGTGTGTTCACATGTGTATGCGTGTGTGTGCATGCGTACATGTGCATGTATGTGTATAGGACACATCATGGCAAGGGTAGTGATGCATGCGTATGTGTACAGGTATGTGTGTATGCGTTCGGACATGTGCTTGCATACTGCATGCACGTGTTAAAGCGTGTGTACGCGTATGGCTGTGTAAGTGTATGCGTACGTGGAGGTGCCCATGTATATGTCGATGCATACATGTATATGTGTGTCTGCATGTGACCCGTCAAGTGATAACACATAATATCGCTCGCGCGCTTCGCGCGCGCTCCAGTTTTACTGCAGGCCAATGGGGAACGTGGTGCGATGGAGGAACACGGGGTCGCGCATAGGAAATCCGCCACGCGGACAGTGATTACCTTCTCTGAAACATGTCTTCCTCAGCCTGGACGAACAAGACACCCTATCTCAACCCCCACATCCATCCCCACGTCCGCCCGGAAGGAGGGAGCAAACGGGGGAATATTGGAATGGAGTTGAGGGGGTGAAGGAGGGAGGGAGGGAGGAGCGAGGGAGGAGGGAGCTGCCAGCCCCCCATTGGTCCCACTCCCCCAACTTCACCTCCTCCTCGCCTCCCTCCCAATCCTACTTTCTCTGCTCGCCCTCTTCGACGACGACGTGCAAGGCGGCGACGGCGGCATCGACGGGAACGACGGTATGCAGAGGTCGAGTTCCCTCGATGCCTCCGAAGATCTCAAGAGGCACACGTGTCTTCGAGTTTTCACTTGCATATAGAATAGCAATGGGAAGTACCCCAGCACAGCACCCTCAAAGCAGCCAAGGTGAAGGAGGCGAGTCGAGGAGTAGGAGGTCTCGTGAAAACGTGCATTCGTATGTAATCCCAGGGGTGAAAGCACGGCCATGTGCATTCTTGCCGATTTATTACCAAACATCGTGACCGTCAGGACCAAACATGTGGCCGGCATGGTGGCGGGAGCACGACTCCTGAATCGATTGCGAGGAAGTCTCAGGCGAAACGGCTGCAGGAATTGGCGATCTACGGGGGCGGTCCTGGACTCCCCCTCCCCCCTGCGGGACATGTCTGTGGACCTTTCTGCACCGCCACGAAAAACGTTTGGCGAAACGCTCTCGGGGGGGAAGCATCTGCTCCACTGGATGACGAAATTGAGAAACGAAAACAAGACAGATGCGTAAACATAACCTGTCGGAAGTCCGAGTGGATTTGCTGGATCGGCGCTGGAACACTCTCCCTGGCGCGCGGGGCGCCCCAGGGGCGCGGCGGAACGAGCTGCAAGGATGGTCCAGCGCCGATCCAAGAAACTCGCGCGGACCCTTCAAACTCTATGCTTATGCCGCTCTTGTCCTCCGACACGACGACCGCCGCCACCACCACGACCACGGCGACCACGACCACAACCACGAGGACGACGGCGACCGCGGCCACGACCACGACCACGACCACGACCACGACCACGACGACGACCACGACGACCACGACGACGACGACGACGACGACGACGACGACGACGACCACGACGACGGCGGTTGACGGCGATCCCCACGTCGGCGGCGGAGGCCGCCTGTATAGTAGCTTTGCAGGAGCGGTTCGCCCAGGATGAACAGGTTCGGGCCGAGCGGGCTCGGCATGCTCACCTCGGGGAGCGCCCCCGGGGGCCCCAGGCCCAGAGGTCTGCTGGGGGGAAGCGACGGCGGCCCGCTGCAAAAGACGGGGTCCGTCCAGCAGTCGGCCCCGTGACTGGGTGCCGCGCGCGCGCATCGCAGCAGCACAGAGGGCGACGGCAGGGCGGAAAAGAAACGAGGACGACAGCAGGCGAGAGGCGAGCGGCGACGGGGCCAAGGAATGACGGAAATACCAATGGGGAGCAGGAGGGGGAGGCCGGCGAGGTGGTTGGGATCGGCAACGGCAGCGGTAGCAGGGAACGAAGACCAGCGGTAGCACTGAGGGGGGGAAGGAGGAGAAGGAGATGAGGGAGGAGGGGGGAGACGGGGGGAGGTAGGCGAAGGAGCGAGACAGCGAAGGAGAGAGGGAGGGAGGTTGACTCGTCCTCCTCTGCACCCCGCATTGGCCAATATTTGCGCGCTTTGAATTCGGGCGACGAGCGGCCATCCACCAAAAGTGGCGAGCCTGCTCGCAAACAAACCTTCTGGCCGCCTTGGAGCCCGCGACGGGGGTCGATGTGGGGCTGTCGGCGGGGGTGTGACGCCCCCCCGACGCTTATTAAGAAACTCGGAGCACTCTGCGGGTGCACTGTCACGGGCCCCAGGGCCGAGAGCGAGGAGAGCAACGCTCGGGAGCGAGAAAGTCATGCCGTCGGAGGCCTCCAGGCACGCTGAGCCCCCACCGATCCGCCCGACGTGAAGGTAGACCGCCCGCTCTGGGACCTCCGACTCCTGAGGGCTTCGGCGACCCGTCCTCCTCCTCCTCCTGCTCCTCCTCCTCCTCCTCCTCCTCCTCCTCCTCCTCCTCCTCCTCCTCTCCTCATCAATCATCATCATCATCATCATCATCATCATCATCATCATCATCATCATCATCATCATCATCATCATCATCATCATCATCATCATCATCATCATCATCATCATCATCATCATCATCATCATCATCATCATCATCATCATCACCATCATCATCATCATCATCATCATCATCATCATCATCATCATCATCATCATCATCATCCTTCTCCTCCGCCTCCGCCTCCTCCTCCTCCTCCTCCTCGGAGGCGCCGGATTCCGAGGGACCTCCCGCGGGCGGGGGTGGCCAGGAGGGGGGCGTCCAGGAGGGGGGGGGGGGCGCAAATCATGGCCGGCGGCATGTGCGCGGCCCAAGGGGGGGCCAGGGACGCAATGAAACAAGAAGAGGCACCATGAGAGCTGGGGAGACATCGTGGCCCCGGCCACGATATCCCCCCCCCCTATAGTCCTCACCCCCCTCTTGGCCGCCCCCGATCTGAGGGGCCTCCCGCGGGCGGGGGCGGGGAGGGGCGCCGGGACGGTCTTCGGCTTGCACAGCTTGGGCCCGCCGGGCGCGGCCTGGCGCGTGAGGCGCGCGCACGCCGCCGCTGCCCCTTCGGCTTGGCTTTGGTCGGGCATGTCCTCCGAAAGGCGGAGTTTGCTCGAACAAAAAGTCAGCAACAAATCGTTCCCATGTGATTGTTTGACTATTGTTGAATATTCCTCCTGTAGAGGGACATGCTCGACTTTATGCTCGTGCTGAAGTTCCAGCCCTGTCGGCAGGAACCTCGGAGAGAACGCCCGAATACGAAAAAATCAGAGCAGCGGACGTCGTCTGGGGGGGTCGGGAAGGAGGTCATGGAGAGGCTCGAGAATCGAAGGGCCGGGCTCGGGGGCGGCGTCTATCGCCCTTCCTGGGTGCCTCCGTGGGAGATCCCGTTGCCACTGCCAGACCCCCCTTTGAGGGTCTTGCCAGAACGCACCCCTGGACAGATCTGAGGCTCGATCTCTAACACGCACACACCGAAACCAAACCGCCGACGTCTTGGAAACCAACCAGAGAAGGATCCGCCATGGTTGGCGTCTCGACGCTGCTCTCGGGCCACTAGGACCCGTCGAAGACGATCGAGGACGACAGCCTTCAGCAGGGAGTGGAGAGATCATGAAAGGTCTGGGGGCCACGTGCTGAAGAGAGAAACGCACGGAGCGTCGGGGGTGAGGGAACCTCTGCCCTCCCGTCCGTCCGCGGGCGAGATTTGTGTGCTTGAGCTGGACGCCCTCCATGAGGCGGCAGTGAGCACCCTTCACGTCTGCCTGTGAAAAGGGGAGAGGGACTCAGCAGCAAACCCTGAGTCGGCCCCGTGGGCTCAGAGGGCAACGGATAGGATGATGGGCACGGATGTTTTTGGAGGCTGCCTCCACAGGGGTAAGATGATCCTAGATTTCGGTGCTGGTGGTAAAATTTCGGTCGCCTTGGAAGTCAGAATATTACCACCATCACCGAGATCGGGATCCTCTTCCCTCGGTGGAGGCACACCGCCGATATTGGTGTTGGTGTCAACCTCTAGGCATGCGATGTTTGTGTCAGCAGCGACTCGGGGGTCCGGGGCGCGGAAGGGGCAACCGAGCGACTCCTCGGGTTAGGTCGGGCGTGTCCCACTACAGGCGGATTCTGAACGAGAAATTAAGAATAACTTCAAATAAACAAACAACAAAATAGTCGAAAAATCGTCCCCTGATTATGTTTTTGACAATTTTTGAACATTCCCCCTGGTAGAGAGCCAGGCCCGACGTAAGCCTCGGGGCCAAATCAGGCACAGCAGGAACAGGGCGGGCGCGGAGGAGAGAGAGCCGCGGGCGGCGGAGAGCCCGCTCGCGACCCCGAAGATCGTGTGTGTGTGTGTGCGTGCTGGAGCACGGGCTTGCACGGGCAGCCAGCGGGAAGCGGTGCGGCCAGCCAGGCAAGCCACACGCCAGAGCGCGTGGGCGAGAAGAGACGACGCCGGCCTCTGCTCTCCGCTCTGCGGGAGCAGCGGCGCGCCCACCGATTCTGCGCTCTGCGGGAGCAGAGGCTAGAGGAAGAAGAAACGCCATGAGCCTAAACTCTTG